GAGGATCTATTGTTCGTAGTGTATCTCTTAGACCTTATCATGACATTCTTTTCTTTTTGCAATTTAAAGATGATATAATATCTTTATTACAGATAGTGGATTCATAAATTATTGTTATGTACTAATATGCTGCTCTTTAGCTACAAACATGCTTGCCACAATGTTTTTATTCTTTCACCCAAATCTGAGAATTATTTTGCAATTATCAGCACCGCATGGCAGGATTAGCTGCTATTGAGATAGCACAAAAAGTCTCAAAAGCTTGGCGTGCCTTACAAGCTGAATGGAGAAACTCAACTAAAGGCACAGGGAAGTCTGGGAAGAGACTCAGGAGAAGGGAAAAACTAAATTCTATTAGTTTAAACAGAGGTGGAGCTGGTTGTAGCACTAGCAGTTCCTCCGACACATCTACTTCATACAGTTTGATTGATGATAGGTCAACTGGACGTTCCATGATGTCATGGAACCACTTGTATTCATTGGCTGTCAAATGGAGACAAATATCTGAACCATGTGATCCAGTGGTGTGGATTAACAAGCTAAGGTACTCCACCTGCTATTAATTTACTGAAGTTTAGTTAGTTATTAAAGTTCATTGAAATCATACTTGGTCTCAGCATTCTAACAAATATCTACTACATTTTGCTAAAGTCATTCCGATTTGAATTGAGTACACAATGATATTTTTTTCTTTTATTTTTGATAAAGAGCTCTTATTTCTTAATATCAACAATGATATTCTCTTAGTACATAAAGATAATAAGAATCACTATCTTCACCACAAGCATGAAAAAAACCCTCCTTCAATTTGCTTAACTTGCTCCGTTTGATCCTTTAGTTCTATGGAGTTATTTCCCAGCTTCTGTGTTGGTGTACTTCACTCTCATTTGGAGCACTCACGAAAAGAAGGATTCTAGCATGTATGACTTTTGAAGTTTGGGTGAAGATCTTGGAGGACTAAAGACCTATTTCACTTTGGCTCGTCTAAGAAACTAAGACTAAAATCATTAATTCGTATTTACGCCGGGATAACTAGATATACCACACTACTTACCACGTCGACGAGATTCTAGTGTATGAAGTGAGCCCCCTAAAAAGTCGTAGAGAAATTCAAGAAAAAACACCTGTCATGCGAATCAAATATCCATACACTTACCCAATTATCTAAGCAGTGAGAGCATTATGCGCAAGTCTAAACACATTAGTAATAATTTGATAAAAGGAGAACAATAAATCCAACTAAATCCATAATCGTATCATTAATTCCACGATCACCAAATACCCTCTGCCCAAAATACGACCGTGAAGCATCTAATAGAGTTAATGAGTTCAGCTATCAGGCATGGAAATCCCAAGAAAGAAGATATATGCTATAAAATAGATAGAGCTGAAACAACGGCCTCCACTAAAGGTCTTTAGCTTTACTATAATGAAGATAATGATTCTAATGTGCCGCTTTGGCTTTACTTTTTGATGAGAATTCTTGTTTTTTTGCATAGTGAGGAATTTAATACTGGTTTTGGGTCTCACACCCCTCTTGTTCTCGGTCAAGCCAAAGTTGTTCGCTACCATCCCAATTTTCAGAGGTAAGAGCTTTACCTTTCTGATAAGCGCAAATGTATTTTTTTACTATTATTTTTTTGTGTAACATGGATACTGCAAATGATACTGATGCTATGATTGACCTTTTGAGCTCATTACAGGATGTGTAAATTGATGCTACCCTTGTAAATAACTTTACAACAGCTTGCTGCTGGCCATGAATAAAAATTCCTTTTTAACAGTCAAAAGGCATAACCTTTCTTATTTGTATTAGCTCTTTCTCAAGGCTCTTATTGTCTGTCAATGTTCAGAACCTTGACTGTTGCCAAGGCTGTTATCAAGGAGAATAAATCAGTGTGCAACAAGGAAGACAAGATAATTGATCTTTCTGAACAACAGAAGTTGCAAGAAGTGAGTTTGTTTGCTTATGACCTAAATTCATCTTTTGCACTGTTTTGCCTTTTTCACAGTGTATAGTTTTTGGTTGTTGATAATTATTTTTCTGGTTCATGTCAAAATACCTACTTTATAGCATTTCCCATGACAATAAAAGCGTCAAATTGAGAAATCTTTATTAGGCTGATTTTATATTGGTCACATTTCTTCCTTAGATGTTAACTGATGGCTCTCTGAAATCAAACTAGGTGTCCACTTGCTAGGATTAATACTTCAGTGCCATACCTTTTTTTTTCTGGTGGTAATCAACACCTGAACTGTACTTTGCAGATAATGGCTGCAGAATCCAGCTCAGATCTTTACAGAGTTGTTGGTCAAGACTTTTGGTTGGCCACCTGGTGTAACAGTACGGCACTTGAAGGGTAATTTTTTATATTTAGTCCTCTTTATACTGTATAACAGTATGTTACTCTTGAATATTATCTCTCATCGGGGTCTTTTTTCTAATTTTCCCTCCTTTCTTATTGCCTGATCAGGAAGCGTCTTGAAGGAACAAGGATCACTGTTGTGAAAATGTAGAACACCATTTAACCTTATTGGAATTCAACCTTTTGTGTGTGTGGAAAGGAGGGTGACTTGAGTAAAATATCACTTAAACTAGATCTGATTTTTCTTATTCCTGTCAACTTTTGTTGTTCCTTCCAGGGGTGAGATTGGTTACGACTTTGCAATTAGAACACCTTGCACACCTGCTAGATGGGATGACTTTGATGTGGAGATGACATCAGCCTGGGAGGTATCCTCTTGATTTATTACTAGAAAGCCATTTTCTACTCCATGACATAGTTTTTGGATATTTGAAAGCAATATTACATCAATGTAAAACAGTAACACAAAAATTCTTTAGTGGTCGTTTTGTAGGCTGTATTAGGTAGAATAATGCTAGTACTAAATTTTAGTACAATGTTTGGTTTTAAATCTCACCTATGTACTACTAATACCAGTATTACTTATACACCCTATTTAATACGATTCTTATGCATAGTAAACCATGGCATTAACTATATCAGTACCATTCCTATACTCATAATCATACACCCTATTCAGTAGTACTCTTGATAATTCAATGCATGTCAGATTGCTAGTTTTAGTACAACAAACCAAACAATCAATAAGAAATGATGTCAGCATAAAAATTCCCTGTACTAGTCTTCAAACCAAACAGCCCCTTATAGTACAGTTTTTCATGGTTTATTCATCTTGTGCCTGCTCGGAGATGATCAGTTAAGTCTTATAATAAGCCTATATTAGTCAGCTTGGGAGTCTGTTCATCAGACTATTCTCTCACTTTTAAAAAGAGATTTTGCTAAGCACTGAAACAAGCAGAAGTAATGAACCTTTTCCTGTCTGAACATAGAAGTAAGCATTATGCCTGAGATGATCTGGGTTTTTGTTCGGTATGATCTTTCTGAAATGATTTGGCATATATTTCTTACTTGAACCTGTTTGTAGACCTACTATTTTGTTTCTAACTGAAGCTTTATCTATACCCATTAATTTCCTATTGTTGCTTGCTTCTGTTTGTGTAGCTCCCTTTTTTTCCCTCCTTTCTTCTTTTTATTTGTTCTTGAGACACACATATATTTTCTGTTTGGTACTTAAATAATAGTGTTCTAATTAAGTTAACTAACTAGTGCCCGAAAGTTGGCCCGGACACCACGGTCATCACACACACAAAAAAAAGAGTTAACTAAGTTGAGACTTAAATGATAGTGTTCTAGTTAGACCAAGTTGAACACAAAACTGTTATGCAGGCTCTTTGTGCTGCGTACTGTGGTGATAATTATGGGTCAACAGATTTTGATGTGCTTGAAAATGTGAGAGATGCAATCTTAAGGATGACATATTACTGGTAAGATATATTAACTTCTATTTGGTTGATCACAAGGGAAGCGTATGGTTCTCTTTAATTTGTCTGATAATTTTTGCAGGTATAATTTCATGCCGCTTTCCAGAGGAACTGCTGTTGTTGGGTTCATAGTTTTGCTTGGATTACTGCTCGCTGCTAATATGGAGTTCACAGGAAGCATTCCAAAAGGTCTGCAGGTGGATTGGGAAGCCATCCTGGAGTTTGACTCGAGTTCCTTTGTAGATTCTGTAAAGAAATGGTTGTACCCATCTCTCAAAGTCAGCACATCGTGGAAAAGCTACCCAGATGTCACGTCAACATTTGAGACGACTGGATCAGTTGTTGCTGCTCTGAGCACCTATTCAGACTAAGGGAGATACATCATTGGTAAGTGGCTGTACATACGAAGGAAACAAATTTCTCTACTCTATTCTGCTGGATATTTTGGGTTTACTGTTTGTAGTTCAACAAAATTTGGAGCATGTCCTTGTGTATAATGGTTTCCCTCATATTTCACCTCTCCAATTTTAATAGGAGTATTTAATTATACTAAGACCATACAATTGACGAAGGCCAACTTCTTAATCTACTCAACAAACAGGTGCATGCACAATAATTGAAATGAGATTCTTTTAAATCACCAGCACGATAAGACTGAATTGTCAGTGGCTAAAAAGACTAGAACCTCATTTGTGGCTGTGGTTGCTACACATGAGGATTGTTCAATCAACTGGATGTTTTCGGTCTCTGTCAACTGTAGCTTCATTGGAATTAAAACCAGAGAAATTACTGAAATTTAAGTGGTGGAAGTATGGGATACAGTACTAGTATGTTAACTCACAAGGACATGACTGCAATTTTTCTTTGGTAGTTCTGTTCATAAGCCCTAAAGCTTCTCTGAACTTGTTAATCTACTTCAGCAGTTCTAAGTTTTGCAATGCTTTTTATTTGTGAGAACTGTGTGAAATGTGAGGGTGCAGCTCTCTCTTAACTTTCCCATATATTCGCTGCATATAGGTTTCATCCGGGATCAATTATCTGAAGGAAATTCGCTGGTGCATTATCTGACTTGATCCTGCTGCGGATGAATTGAGGCGAGATGTTTTGCATTATTGACATTCTCCAAGTGTACCATTACTTGTGAATTGTTGTATTTTAGTTGTATTGTGTATGATCTGCTCTCTCATTGTTTCCTTTCTTTTAGATTACCAAATTAGATTTCAGGATAGTTATTTAAAAAGAAATGAATAAATGGGTTTTCTAGTCTTTGTTTTCTCTTTGTGTTTTGTGTTTATTTATGCAGTTAGAGTTTAGACGGACCCGCTTCTTCTATAGTTTGCAGGGTGGTGATGTATGAATTAAGAAGTGGGGGTCAAAAGTCACACTTTTTAGCTTATGTAATGAAATATAACCATTGAAAAATGGTGATTCTGAACTTCTGACCCCCGCTTGCCGGTTGGCAAACTTCACTTCTCCATATCGAACGGTCCCATAGCGAGAAGCAATAACTGCCAGTGGACTAAAAACTATATTCTCTCAACAAGAGTAAATGAGAAAATAATAATAGGCAAATGCACAGCAGTTGGAACCAACAAAGTCTACCTTGGTGGGTTAGGTACAATACGGTACCTCAGCAGATCTAATTCTAAAAAACTTGTCTGTTTGGTATCCATTTGTAGTGTGTTTGTTGAGTTGTCTTGTCAAGGAGAACCATACCAGACCAAAAAGTACATTGTCTGAAAAGGATTGATTAGATGAACATAGTCAAGATAGGATTAACTTCCGTAGTGATTTTTGTTTCCACAGAGAAAAGGGTAAACAATGGACAACATCTTACATTTTTAGTTCTGCATGTTAAAGTTGCTCAACTCGTAACGAGCTATCACATTTTTCTTGTACTTTTACATTTTCCCTTCCTGTGATGGTTCAATAACGCCTTTGCTTCTCCGGCTTGTTCTCCAGAGCCGTCCCTTTTTCAAGAGCCCATGCTCCTCGTCTTTCCCCTGGATTGGAATTCCTGTTTGAGGACACCCCAAGTACGTCTTTTTAGAGATCACATATCTAGTGCATATTGACTGAACTTAAACTTCATAATACAAACTGTTCTAAAGCCCAAAATAAAAAAGAAGGATTTAAAACTCATACATTGATTTTTCAGGTTATTCATCGCTTTTATAAAGGTTGTTAACTGCAGTTATCTTTTACATGATCTAATAGCATAAAAACCTTTTCCTTTTTTCAGCTGAGACAACTCAAATCTTGTGCCATCTTGTGAAACTTGAAGCACAAAAATAGGTAAAGAATTGAGTAGTAAATAAGAAAAACAAAAATAATTCAGGACTAACTTTTTAATAGTGCCTCTTCTATCTTCCCTTTCATTTTTCCACCTGCAAGGCGATACTGGACCCTGGATTTATGGGTTCCATTGTCATATGTGTCGTCTTCCATGGACTTCGCAGCACCTGCAAAAATCCACGTGGCTGTCATCTGCTTGTTCAACATGCGCATTGCATAGTATGGGATTTTCCTTGTGCTGCTTTTGTTTCCATTCAACTTGCTTCGTTCATTGATGAACATTAAACAATCTATTAAACTTAGTCTAGCCAAACCTTTCATGTGATAAGCCTGCGATCTTCGCCATAGGCTCTTTATATGTGGTCTCATTTCACCTGATAAACTTAAGGCTCGAGTTGTATCACTAATAGCTAACTCTGCTTCTCCTAAAATTAAATGACATTGAGCTCTATTGCTATAAAGAACAATTCTTTCTTTTCTCAAGTTCAGTGGACATAAATCTAAAGCCTTTGTGTACTTGTTTACAGCTGCTTCAATCTCACTTGACCAAAATTTCTTGTTTCCTTCACGTTTTAAAACGGAAACCAAAAGCTCTGTTTCCTTCACTTCTTGTTCCGAAATGATTTTATCCCTTTTCCTTTTTTCAACTTTCAAGTCCCAAATCTCTTTGATTGATCCTGTTTCGGAGAACCCCACTTGACCATATTTGATTTTAGCATAATCTTGTAAGAGTAGTTGTGTTATCATGTCACCCATTTTTCGTCTTCCTTTGATAGTTCTAAGCTCTACTAAATCAGCAAGAAAAGGAGCTGCAATGTTGGTTACTCTGTTTTTTGTTTTTGGATCCTTGAGAAGTAACAAAAGACATTCAATTGCCATGAATTGCCATTCGTCGGATGATCTAGAGAGGTCGCAGATATTTTCTACGACTTGTACTAATTGAGCAATGTTTTTTCTACCATCTTCGCTTTCACAAAGACTTCGGATTAGGCCAATTCCAGAGAAAGAATTCTGGTTCTGTAATCCACCCCATATATCACACAAATTCTTGAGAAAATGTTCTTTGCATATCAAATTGATGCTTCTTTTCTTTGTAACGAAGCAGTTGAGAAGGTACAGTGACCAGCATTGCATTTGGCAAGCCCAAGACTCTGCTTTTTTACTCTCCATTTCGAATTCTCCGAGGCCTTTTATCATCAAATAACGATGATATTCGACTCTGTTTTCACTTCTCTTGCTCACAAACTCGCTATAGATTGTATAAATGCATTTGGAAGCTATATCAATGGCTAGTTTTATAATCTCTACTTCATGGACCTTAATATCTTCAAATGTTCTTCTATGTCGTGCAATGTGACCAAGTGCTCTAACAGCCACTCTTTGTTCGACCCAAGTTATCTTACCTCTTAAGAGGTCTATTAATGGCGAAATTACGTCTGATTTAACAGCCAAAACAGAGAATCTAACTTTGTTCATGGTGTAGGAGCCAATGATATGAGCTGCATAATAAGGAACATACACGTTATGGCCTCTTGAAAGCCATTTTTGGTCACGGGTGCACCTGTTGAGAAGTCTAGCCATGCAACTAAAGACGCCGAGGGATGGGAATTCAGGGTCATCAGGTTGAGCAAGAGCAGTATTCCAGAGGCATCTTAAGGTGAGAACAAGTTCCATATCTTCAATCAGATGCAAATCTTTGAAGCATTGAGCTATTAAAGTTTTTCGTATCGATGGATCTTTTTCTTCCATTTTACCACACAACAAGCAACTACGACTTGTACTGGTGCATTTCATGTTCAAATGCAGTGTAAAGTCTGTTTTGTTTTTGCTGTTTGAGTAGTCAGAGAATGTTGTTGATGAAGTTTCTATGGCAGGTTGTTAGAGGTATTAGTTTAAGTGCACTGACTGGTGGGCAGGTAAGGGTTCATTTTCAGAAGTAACTCTTTAGTCAAAGTGTTTTGTCGTATTCATATATAAATATAACAAGTTGCCCACACCTAAAAACCACAAAAAGAAACAAAAAAGAGAAAGAAAAGAAAGTGTTTTGACAAACATGTGGGCTGAATCTTGAGACTACTTGGTCCCGACTCGGACCAGAAGTTTTGAGTTGTGAGATTTGTAGATAGACAAAAAGAGGGAAGGGAGAAATAAATAGAAATGATTGTACCATTAGAAAAATGTTCCTACTAAAATATCTCTACTAACGAACCATTTCAATCGTACAGGTGTCTGGCTTGCCACGTGCACGACCAGGGGCAGACCCACATGCATCCGTGAGGGTGCACGTGCATACGGGAACTTTTAAAAAATAATCGTATATATATGTGTAGATAGTAGAAAATGATTATATACTTAATTGTGCACCCTTATAATAAAAAAGTATTATGGCGAATTGGTTGAAGAGTCAAAGAGTGACTGCCCGAGTTTAAATCCCCTTGAGGCAGCCTTTTTTTCCCCTATTATCTCTGCATAAATTGATAAGTTCTTAGAGTCTTAGTAGTGTCCCTCTATCTTTAAATCCGGGGTTCGCCGCTGTGCACGATCATGACCAACCTTTTTTCTCTAGGTATAACACATTCTTTTTCTAACTGAATTCTCCCATCACGATCTTTAATTCTTTGGTATGCTCTATTTACTGTTCCTTTGGACTTTCTTCTTTTCACTGCGAGCAAAGCATGGATGGTAGAATTTATGATAGCTCTGCTCTATACCAGAGTCGTTTGGTGTGAGTTATAAAGTATAATAATCTTAGAATAAAATGTATGAATTATTTTATTCCAAGTTGGGTTGAATGTATTATTAGATAGTTCTTAAATTATTATCCTTCCGATTATGGGATACATCCTCTAATATACATGGTGGAATATTTTTTTTTTGAGATAACTTATATAAGAATAATTAATCTCACGTAATTTATTCTCGATCAGATATAGCCCTCCTTTTTTCTTTTCTTTTTTTAACCTCAATTGTAGTAGGCTCGTGGTGTGCAGATTTAACTTGAAAAGCAAAGAAACCAGTTGTTTACATTATTTAATGAACCACAAGTACAAATGGGGTTGGTCTCAAGAAAATGCGGCTGACCTATGAATGAGTTAATTAAAGTATCTTTTTGAGTTGAAGCAGAGTTTGCAACTCACTTCAGCGTTGCTTTTGATGCCAAAAATAATCATTACAAATCTGGGATATAATAATACAAACATGCTTAGTTCAGATTTCAACATGTGTCTTTACGTCGATTTTAAGCACTCCCTTGTTTTACTTTATTTATTTTATTTACTATTTGAACACTCAAATGATTTTAAAAAATAAATTTAAGTGATATTTTTAGATCATAATCTTTTAAAATATTTTAAATTATTAACTGTCAAGATTTAAAGTTTTTATATAGTTTCTAAATTTATATTAAAAAAAGAAGGAAATTTTCGTATATAGTCACTCAAAGATAACTTAATTATGTTCCGTAGCTATAGTTCACTAATCACAATTTGTAGTTAAATGTTAGAGAAAGGAGAGAGAAGAACTATACTGGGAGAGAGATGAGGGTAGAGAGGCGAATTGTATATATATATCTATTAAATAATTGTATATATGTAACTGGTATACATATGTATTTGTATATTTAGCGAGCAAGATTGAGAGACAAGAGAGAGGCGAGTGATCTTGGGAGAGGGAGGACAGAGGCAAGCTAGAGAGGACAGAGAGTGGAGAGAGACAAATTGTATATGTATAATTGTATATAAGTACTTTTATATCTAGCAAGCGAGATTGGGAGAGTGAGAAAAGAGACGAGCAAGATTAGGAGAGGGAGGAGAGAGAAGCCAGAGGGGGCAGAGAGTAGAGAGAGACTAATTATATTTATATATTAGTCATAATTAATTCAAACTATGATTATGTTAGCTAATTAACTAATATATATTTGCTTATTTCGCGTAATTTTCCATAAAAATAGAAGGAAAAACTAAGTAATATGGCAAACTTCAATATACATTTAAATAATATAGTTATAGTTAATTTTTTTTATGTTATATGACTATAACTATACAATAAATAGCAAATTTAATTGTATATCAATAATCAGTTTTTTTTTATGTTTAATATAAATAAATAATAAATAGGAAAATTATCATTAAACTCATAATTAATTATGTATTCATACTTTCTCTTTCATCAATATGCTTATATTACAAATTTTTTTGTATTTTTCCCTCAATTTCTTCCAATTCAAGATCCTTTTGTAAGATTGTAGGAGTGATTTTTGTGATTCAATTCATTATACTTATATTTTTGGTTCAATGAAATGTCAAATGTTTATATTTAATAATACTTATATACTTTGATAATTGTATTGTAATATTAATAAAATGGTGGTTTTTGAAGACAAATATATTTGGATACATAAGTAATTTATCCAATTTGATTAAGCAATACAAGTATAGTTGGATACATCAATACTATATTTTTTATAAATAAATACCTAAGTTAACGTCAAGCCTCAAGTATTATAAACTTTACAAAAAATAGATTGACTTTTTGTTGGTTTTTTTAATTTTTTATGCAGTCGAATACTTACACACTTTGATACATACACATTCTATTGTTTTTCCATTTTCTTATGTTACAATAGTGTATTCATATCATAGTATATTGGTGTATTCATTTTTTTTGTTAACAATAGTGTATCCATTTTTCAAATTGTTGTATTCATATTCTAAAATTGTACTACTTTACCTTGTTTGACGTATTAATACATTAAATTTTTATAAATACTTGTATCCTTGATATATTAATACTTTAAGTTTTATAAATAGAAATACCAATTTAAATCAAAGTATTCATATGCTAATTGTACAAGTATACATTTTCCTTATTTAGTTATTGTAATGACAACTGCATTAGTGTATGAATAAATAAAAAATAAAAACATATGGTAAAATACAACGAGAAAAGACATGAATAAACTTTTATATTCAAAATTTTATGAATACCCTTATGATTAGTATTTAGTGAATATATTGTATTTAGGAGTATAAATACAACCTTTTGTATTATGTGAATCAATCATATTTGCATACAATATGTAATTTATTAGTTGGTAATTTTATAATAGAAATTTCAGTTATTTAGGAACATAAAAAATGAGTGGTAGTTGGAAGTTATGGTAACATATCATACCTTATTTAGTGGATTGTATAAATAATAATAATAATAATAATAACAATAAAATAAAATAAAATTTAATACAAACATGCAGCTAGAAATTGACATAAAGTGTAGTCATTTCTAGTAAATAACATATTTATAACTATTGAATTTCAATAATTCTATAAATATATTGATTTTTTTAGATTACTCAAAATGGAAAGATTCACTCTTCCAATATAAATGGATTGAAGCCCAACTTTAAAAGATTTAACTTTGAAACTCTCTTTTATTATTGGTCTTCATATTGGGCTCAAGCCCAAGTAATCTATGGTCTAAACAACCAAAGACAAGGAACCAGTATATCATTGGAAATTCTTTCACAATCAACGAGAGTCGTGTATATCATCTCTAACAATATATAAAGTAACTTGTTAACCTTTTAAAAGAAATTCAATAATAATGTTTGAACATAAGATATTTAACAAACTTTTTATTTATTGGTCTACGTCATTTTAAATTTAACATTGATAATATATTTTCTATTGCAATTTGTTACTTTCTTGAGGAATAGTATAAACATTTCGTCCTTTGGTATAATCTCAACATAAGAATCATGTCCATATATAGAGAAAAAGAAATGTAAGATTATATAAGAGTATCTCAGATTGAATCATATTGAAGTCCAAATGAAGCAAACTTTTTTATTTCTAGTTTTACAACACCCAATCGCATTACACTTTAATTTATTTAAAGAGAAAAAAAAGGAAAAACTTTTTTGCATAAATATTCTAGGTATAGTTAATTTCAGGTAGAAGCAAAGGGAATTAAAGGCAAGTTTATGATTGGAAAAATTAGAGTATGTGCTCTTGAGTAAGACATAAGGGATATGGTTATTCTATCCCTACTTACTTTTTTCTTCATCAAGTTCTAGCTACTTATACAATTAACATGACACGTTTCTTACAAAAAGAATTCTAAAGATTGAACAAGCAACTACTTTAGATAAAGAGGAATGATGGAATTTAGGCCATTCAAAAATCACTCTTCGAGCTAAATAAAATAGGATTAGTACTAGTATATATTTATAGTGCTTGGCCACCAAGTTATGTATGGTGGAATTTAATTCATTTAGTATTTGAAATTTTTTATTACAAATAATATTCTAGGGGCCAGTAAATTTTTCATTAACCGACTTTAGTCAATGCGAATTTAAATTTATTATATCAATAAACTTATGAATATATAAGAAAAAAAATTCTTATGATCTTTTTTCCAACGTAACCTTTTATGTTGAGACATGCTCGGGCAAAGAAAAGGATGAGTTTGACGGGAAGGAAAGAAACATGGTATAATACTTTTTCTGTTTTAATTTATTTGTTTTATTATTTTTACGATATTTTAAAATAATATCTTTTTAGTAATTTTAATTTTTAACTGTCTACAAAACATGTATAATACCATAAATATATTTAATTTAAGACCTCTAGATTCATAAAATGTGCGTCAAATCAAAATATAATAAACAAATTAAAATGAAGGATATAATAGACTAGGCTAGTTACTTTCAGCAACAACAATAACATGGAGGACATCACAGTCTAGGCTATTCCCATAAGAAGGTTGGGAAAAAATAGAATGAACACGAATTTTATTTCTATAGAGTAAAAATCTTGTTTCTAATATATTCTTGACTATAAAGTGAGATCTAACCTTATTATTAATCATATAATTAAAATATAATTATTAACATAAAATTTAAAATTTCATAATAATATTCTAAAATTTCATAGGTGAATGTGTGATTAATTATCTTCGCTTGTAACGGCTAGAAAATCGAGTTCAAGTTCTGTCTTATTAAAAAAAAAATTAAAAAACAGAGTGCAGGTTTTTTGTCATACAAGACGCCGTGTTTTATTCTTTTTTTCTCCCAATATAGTAAAAGATTAAACAGAGTTGGGGAATGGTCACTATCCCATCTCAGTTCTGCCAAATCTTGTAAATGGCAATAAACAAAGCAGCCATTGGGATTCACGCGTATACTATTTACAGTTTCTTCGAATCCCATCATATCAATCATCATTCATAATTCACCATAAATATAATATATATGCCTCACATTTATCTACTGTTTTTTGAAGAATTTTTTAACAAAGTCATTATATAAAATAATTTATTAAAATAATACGCTTTTAAATTTTTTTATAAAATTAGTATAAATGTATTTCATTGTAATATTTTATGGTATATTTTTTTTTATAAAACTGACGGCGTTAGGTTGATATGTGTTACTGTAAGTAAGGTAAACGTTACTGTGAATAACGTTTTAGTAGTAAAACGTTACTGTAAGTAACGCAAATCAATCTAACGCCGTCAGCTTTTAAAATATGAAATATACCCTAAATCGTTACTGTGAAATACGTTTATGCTAGTTTTGTAATTTTTTTAGAAAACGTATTATTTTGATAAATTGCTTTGTATAATGACTTAGTTTGATCAAAACTTTTTTTTTATAACAATGTTATTTGTATAGTTTTATTTTTAATTGTTGTTATGATGAAACGTTGTCATTTATAAATAACATGTAGAGAGTAATAAACAAACAAACGAAAGTCTAGTGAAATGTTACGATATAGAATGAAAAAAATAGAATACATATAAATTTTATTTTTATTTAATAATAGTGAAAAAACTATTTCGATAGGCTTGAGCCGTGAAAGAAGCAAGCAAAAACAAAAGCTAATAAGAGAATATATAATATGAAATATAAAATAATAGCATATCAGATGGTGGCGGTACATAAATATGATTGTACCATTTTTTGCCAACTTGTATATCATCCAATTATTTTACTATTGGGTGAGTTGTCTATTTCTATCCCCTTGTATGTGTCTGTCTTTAGCTACTTTTTTGCTCAATTACAATATAATCAATTCAAAGGATTTAGCATGGCCAACTGTAAAATTAAAAATTCTGAGGTTCTATAATATAATATAATATAATATAATATGCCAAACAAAAAATGGGACATAAACGAATTGCATGGACCCATAACCACCAATCATCAAATACTACCGTTACCCCCATCATATCAACCAGAACACGGGCACCTATGGTTTAGTGAATATATAGATTTAGGGGAATAAATTGACTATTTATTTTTTAAATTAAAATAATTTTGTTGTTTTATTTCTAGAATAAAGATGAATTTATTAAGTAGCTCAAACATACGGTCACAATTAGATAAATAATTAAAATTTCTATTTTGATTAACGATTACTTTAACACGAAAAGAATATGATCGATTTTTCATATGAATAAGTCTTAATATGACAATTTTGTCTTCTATTGTATATTACTCAAAGCAAAATTGACCATTGGTTCATTCTAGATGGAGCTAACAGTTAGAAAATGATAGGAATACAAAAAATATCTCCTGTTTTAATTTAAATCATTTTTTGCAAAAAATATCATATCATATGATTTTAAATCTGCTGTTATTTTTCATTTCCCAAAATTTTCCCTCCCTTTGATTATTCACGTATGTAAATAAATGATCCAAATAATTGAGAAGGCTCAAATTAATAAACTTATGTATAATTGAATAGTGTTTAAACATTATGGTAGCAGCTTTAATATACTTATAAATAATGTTTAAACATTACGGTAGCTTCCACCATTTCAGCCAAATCTAACCCATGTTTTCCACGATAGAAAGCCATTACGGAAAGGAGTATATTTGGAGAGAAAATTACTTAATTTTATGCATCGATAGATGAACATAGGGCAAATATAAAATAAATCACTCGTATTAAGGGTATATTTGGGGTTTTTTTTCTTTCTATTTTGGGTACAAGTAAACGGTTATATACAATCTTAATAAATAGATGAGCCTAAATACTTTGTGAGATGGTGAAATCGATACATTTTTTTCTATAAATATTTTTGTTAGAAAATTTCACAAATTAATTTCGTTTTCAAAAAGATTTTGTATAAGAATGTTATGTGACTCGAAAATAGTTGGAAAACAGCGTTAGGGTCCCAGCTGTTAGTTGTCGGTGCCAATTACTTGTTAATCTTCTCCACAATCATCGCTTACGCGTATGGACTTGATTAACTCGTGACCCAAACGGGTCCTACATCTAGCCATGTTCCAGCTGTAAGCTTTGCCTTCCATCGAAGACAACAAATCAAACCTCCAGCTACAGAAATCACCTAGACTCTGCAAAACCCAAAACACCTGACGTGGTTAGCCCATTACCTAATCACATGGCCTATTGGGCCCATTTATCCAGCCTGTTAAGAGGTTCATTTTGTATGTTTTTTGCATGGACCCACCCAGATGACGACCCTCCTCTAGCCGTTATGCCTTTAACTTGCCTACTTATATGCACTCAACTTCACACTCTTTACACACAATCAATACACACACACTCTCTTTTTCTCTATTTTTGGTCTATATTTTCTTTTAGCTACCATGGATAGAAAATTTGTATTTCTAGTATCAATTTTGTGCATTGTAGTGGCAAGTGTCACGGGTCAGACACCTGCCGCAGCACCCGTTGGTGCTAAGGCTGGTACTACTCCACCAGCTGCTGCACCAACTAAGCCGAAAACTCCTGCTCCCGCAACAGCACCAGCCTCGGCCCCACCTACAGCTGTTCCTGTTGCTCCAGTAACCGCTCCAGTTACTGCTCCCACTACACCTGTTGTTGCTGCACCCGTATCAGCACCAGCAAGTTCTCCACCACTTAAAGCACCAGCAAGTTCTCCACCAGTACAATCTCCACCAGCTCCAGCTCCAGAGGTAGCTACACCGCCAGCTGTTTCTACTCCACCGGCTGCAGCTCCAGTTGCTGCACCTGTTGCTTCGGAGACAACTCCAGCTCCGGCTCCTAGCAAAGGAAAAGTAAAGGGAAAGAAGGGAAAGAAACACAATGCATCACCAGCACCTTCTCCCGATATGATGAGCCCACCTGCACCTCCTTCCGAAGCTCCTGGACCTAGCATGGACTCCGATTCAGCTCCCAGCCCATCTCTTAACGATGAGGTACGCAATCTCATAAAAAATTCTCTTCCTATTTTTTGTTTTTAATCTTCTGTTCCTGTCTAAGATATTATGGATCATTAGTGCCAATCCAGATCTAGTTAATAATACATATAACCAGTTCCTGCTCATAACATACTACAAGTTTTAGCTTATCTGCATTCTCGTAATTCAGGATGAATATGATTACACTAATTGCATACCGCGGATCTAAAGTTCATTTGCAGAATTCAATAGTTTTGATCAAATTCTAAATTTATTCTTAGAAATTTGATTAATATATATATATAAAAAATTAAGATCCATACTAATTGGTATGAATATGGTGTCGTAGTGTATGTTAGCTTCGTCGGTGGTGAGTCATTTACGTTTTACAGCTTTCATAATTTGGTCTTTTTACAGGCGGGTCTATCAGTTGTTCATGATGACTTGTGAAGATGTGACTTTAATTTTTATATTGATAATATTAAGTATTTCTATGTTGGGTAACCCGGGGCACAATTACTCACTAAAAATGATTTTTTATCGTTTAATTAATGATAGGATGATAATAGTTTAATTATTACTCCTATTATTTATATTTTCTTTAAGCAATTAACATTTTTTTTGTAAATGACCCTAAAACAGATAACCACACTAACTAACTGTGATAAAAAAATTTTACTTCCTCTCCTCTGTCCGATATTGTTTGTCATGTTGAATTTAATTAATTTTCTAAATTAAATTAGTCGTTTTTGATATTTTAAATTAAAAAATTAGATATTCTAAAACTATATGAGAAATTGCAAGCATATTAATATGATGAAAAATATATCTTAAAAGTCAAATGTTTTATAGTTTGACTCAAAATAAAAATCATAACAAACAATACCAGACCGAGTGAGTAACATTTTGTCAATACAAAGCTATTTTTTGTTATATTGAATGGCATATATATATGGTGTCGGTGGAAGATCATTAATGGCGTAGATATATTAGGTCGCTGCACGGTGACAACGAAAAGATTATTGCACTCTTCTTTAGTTGCAGTATTCACTTCAAAACCAGAGTATTAAGTTGGACAAAGAAACATTAAAGGTCACTAAGCACGAGGCAACACAGTAAAGTAGGATCAATCAATTGCACATGCACGGATTGTACTGTGTATTTGCATTATTTTTACATATTGTGGATCTGAATTAATATTTTATAAATTAATGACAAAGATATTAATATATTGTGGGATCTAATGCAGAGTGGAGCAGAGAAATTGAAGATGCTGGGAAGTTTGGTAGCTGGATGGGCTGTGATGAGCTGGCTCTTGTTCTAAAGAGTTCAAAACATATTTTGATATTTGACATGTATAATTTATCTTTTGGTTATTTATGGTGAAGGGGTCCTCATTTGGATCTGCTTAGAGATTTGGCCACATTGCCTCCTTTTTTTTATATTCTTTCGTGGAGTGTAAGGGTAGAGATTTGTACTAGTCTTCACTACTTTACTCCTTTTTGGACTCGCACTTTCCTCTATTATATAGATTTCATTTGTTTATTTGTCCATTTCTCATCCCACTACTTACTCTTCACTCTGCTTTAATGCCGATTCTTTTTTATTAATTACTCTCTCTCGTTGTTTCAATTTATTTGTATTAATATGATTAAATATAAAGTTTAACAAAATAAAAGGCTATTAATTAATATCAAACATCACTATTACTTGTACTAATTTTAAAACCATTCTTATGAATGCTATGAAATGACTACTTACGATTTGTGTAAAATAGTTTATTATATGAAGTAAATAAACAAGTACAGTGCTAAGCTCTAGTAGTAAAATCATCTTGGTTAATCAAGTGAGTAGTGACAACTCTTAAACTTGTGAACGAGTCAAAAGCAATTCTAAACTTTATCTGTATATTAAACTTTGAATCAGTCTTGGACAAAAAGTAAATTAAAGTAACTTGTTGAGTACTTAATGCATAAGAAAGAAAACCATAATTATTTAACAATAAACGTCTCTTGTACGTATCAACTTTATCATGCGGTGACGGAGTAAACATGAGGCTTCAAACAAAAACCTTTTATATTCTTTCGGTTTAGGAAAGAAAATCAAACACAACTCTAATCATATTTCTTGATTTCAACAATACGTTTTCCCTTTGTTATATCTATTTTTATACCTTACTCTTCGTCATCACTCAGCAGTTCTTTTTGCTTTACGTGTCTTACGAAAGAGAACACAGACAAACAAAGGAATTCATAACTAACGAAAATAAAACACATCTTGATTGGTAATTCGATTTTTAATCGAAAGCAGAGATTTTTTTTAATAGAAATATACAGTATCTATATGTTTATGTGTTGTGATTAATACATTGGGCTGTAATTTACTACACAGCCACAATTCATTCTTGGCCCAATTGAAGGAATTACAGTTTTGTAGGCTGAATTTAAAATCAGTTATGCATTTGAAGGCCAGAAGTCTGTGGACTTTAGCCAATACAGGAAGATTTGAATGCAAGAAAATAACGAAATCCCTAAGAAGTCTAAACAGAATTCCAAAGAACAAACTTGAGATTAGCTGAGGACAGTTTGTTTATTTTCCACCAAAATCTAAAACTGCTGGATCAATATTACAAGCTCTAACTAATTTTCCTAATGCAGGTGCTACAGTCACCGTCTCAATTAGTCATACCCAAAAAACATGGGATGTAATCACAGCAAACTCACTCTTAATGCTTACTTTGAGCAGACCCAACAATCCAACACTTCTTAAAGGAAAGAAATGGGGAAGGCTATAAATACTTAACTCGGGCTACAAGGGTACAACATGATCTCAGCTTTCTGCTAAGAACATATATCAATTATCTATGCTCGAGATACTTTTGTTTTTTACAAACCAATTGGGGAAGGTAATTCCCCGTGAAATGAGGTATACAATGAAGGCAATGTATGCACCTGTAAAAGCAACTACAACAGATGTAAACAACATCCCACTGACAGCAGAAGATAAAGAGTCCATCAAAAGATAGCCATTAATCAGCATAACCAGCACAGCTACTAGCCATGATATCACCTAAAAGGGAACAGAAGAAACATTAGATGTAAGCAGTGTAAGAAACATCAAACATGCAAAGTTGAATCGCAGAGAAACTACATTCCCCTGACACAAAAATCCATTCTAAGAGACGATGAAAATCCCAGACAGATTATGTCTAAAACGACATGTGAGAGTATGATCTTAGCCAGGTATATATTAATAGTTCATCAATTATTCTGAAACCTGATAAAATTAACAAGCAAGGCTCTCAATCTGCATAACACTATGCATGTACGCCCATAGCAGCTCCGTGGAAACTATTCAGTCAATTGAATCAAGTGATCAAGATAAAATGTAGGAGATTTTATCTCCCAGACAAGTAAAAATCAAATGATGTTGAACCAGACAATTCCCACATCTTAATGTACTTTGCTGATAGTCTATAAAGGTTAGGAAAAAGACAGGACACAGTCAGACAAATAACAGAAAGAAGAAGGTGCTCCAAATCCTAGAATCTAACAATGACACCTAATTCTCAACAAATATACCAGCAGATTCTGTCTAGGTCCAAGAGTATATAGATTTCATACAAACTGGAAAAAAGTTTGAGCATATCGCAACTTCAGTGGAGAAATGCACCATTTAAAGAACACAAATCAAAGAGTGGGACAAAAGGACACCTCTAACTTCAATCGATTGTCCACATTCAAATTAAAAGTTAAACTTAATTAATAGTATTTGTTTTCTTTTTAGAAAATCCTTTATAAATGATTATACAATATGGTGTATCAAAATGAGTTCAAGATCTTGATAATTTAAAGAATCAGATTTCCTGACCCCCCAACCTGTTATAAAATGTTTGTTATTAAGTGGATGAATTCCAAATTCAAGAGGAAAAGAATAGGTAATAGATCCAATTCTAACTTTTAAAAAATTAGTTCATTCAAGCAGAACGTTTGAAGATACGAACATACCTTCATAGTAGAGCCAATCTTGAAAACACCCATGATTTCTTCTCTGGATACAAGACAAAGAAGGGGGATCAGGGCAAAAGGGATTTGGACACACTGAAGAACGTTGAGCCACTCGTTCAGAACATCTAATGATTTCTCAGAGGTGTCAAAAGCAAGAGCAACTATCAGAGTTGGGACGATAGCACAACTTCTTGTTATTAACGCTCTCTGCCATTTTTTCAACCTCATGTGCAGAAAACCTCCCATAATAAATTGTCCAGCATAAGTACCAGTTATAGTACTACTCTGTCCAGCAGCCAACAATCCAATAGCCCAGATATAAAGGATGGGGAACGATCCCCCACCATACTTATCCTGAAGATATTGACCAGCATTTTCTAGGCCAATGCTATTGGCTATTTCACTACCATAAAATGACTTTGCGAACACTGTTGTAACAAACAAATTGATCATGAATGAAATTGCCAAGGCAATTGTCGACTCTATGGAGTAGTAATTAAGTGCTTCTCGAACTCTGCCAATCTTACGGTTGTCAATGTCTCTGGACTGCACTAGCGCCGAATGTAGAAACACATTGTGAGGCATGATAACACACCCTACAATTCCCACTGCCTGCTTTATTGTTTTGGAGCTAAGTTTTGGGACCACCACACCTGCAGTTACAATTTATCAGGAGAATTCAAAGCCATGCATAAAAAATAGTCTATGATCTGGATGCTTGAAAAGTGGCAGATATGAATACTGCAATTATATTTTGTGCTGCATTTTCTCACCAACAAGAAGTTCCACTCCATTTGGTTTCGTCTCTCCAAACATCCATGCAAATGAGACGGCCATAACTGCAATAAGGACAGCAAAGAGTGCTTCCAGCTTCCTCACTCCATAGTTCTCAAGAAATAAGAATACAAAGCTGCAGAATAAAAGGATTGCAAAGGCTGTTCTTGAGCTCAATAGGCAATTAAACAGTCGAATAAATTGTTATTGTGCATCTTTATTTAAAGAAAAAGGGAAACTATTTTAAAATAAACCAATAAGAAATGAAGGAACAATACATGGTTCCCAAGTCTTGATAATAGAGAATGCTACAGTGTATGGAGACAATTATTAAAAAAAGGTCAATCGTTCAACTGAACTTCAATTCAGAACTAATTGGACCAGCTAAATGAATCATCTTTATCCATTTCGTGGATCATTATAAAATAATTAAACACTATACTATAGTGCTTCACTATATAAATATTTGACCTAGCAAAGTATAACCATTTTCCTCCACTTCCTCATTAGTTATATTTAAGTATATACAAGAAGTTATGGAATCAAAAGGAGGCAACAAGCAAAGGCCTTTTGTTAATCAAAGCTCACATGAATTACAACTTGTATCTCAATTTAAGTGTCTTTCCTTTCCTTTTTAGTCTTGTCACATAAAGATTGTCTCTTTACACATTTAGTTTTTCAATTCCAACATTCTAATAGGCAAATTTAAGATCGCATGATATCTTAAAATCCATGCTCAGTCGGTCGAACTAGGACACTTAAATTGGGATAGAGCGTCTACTATCATATTAAAAATCAAAGTCTAACAGAAAAAGAATCCATGAAAAAAAAAACAGAACTGGAATTCGAAAAAGGATAACAAGAGAAGAAAAAAGAAAATACCAATCAAGAGCAGTGATGACAACACCAGACCATAGAGGCAAGAACCCTCGACTCAAAATCTTTATAGCAATAGCACTTCCAATAACCTCTTGAATATCAGCCCCAATTAGAGCCAATTCGGTCATGACCCACAAAAGCAATCGAGCCCATTTCGGATACTCATCCCTACATAGCTCAGCCAAATGCCTAGAAGTAGCGACACCCAAACGAGCCGCTAAAAGCTGAACAAGTAATCCCATAGCCGTAGCCCAAAAGAGTAGCCATAACAGAGAATACCCAGCGATAGCCCCTGCCTGAAGATCTCCTTCAAGATTTCCCGGATCCAAAAAGGCTATACTCATCAAGAAACCCGGTCCAGTAAAAGCCCATAGTTTTTTCCAGGAAAAAGGAGGAGTTTTGGTGAAATCATCATCATCGTCGACTCCGATAATATGGACTTTGTCGGAGTACTCATAGGCAGATTCTTCCTCGAGTAATCTATCCGCCAACAATTGGTGGTGTTCTTCTTCATCGTTTAGAGGCATTTATTTATTTATTTATTTTATTAATTAATATTACGGAGAAGAGAAGAGAAGAGAAGAGATTTTGCGGTTAAAAAAGTTACAGGTGAGTTCGGTTCTTTATAGTGGGAGTCTTTGGATCTTTTCTTTTCAGACGATAAGACCAATTATGCTTTGAAAAATACCATCACACTGCTCTTTTCAATTGAACCGATTTTTCTTTTGCTTTTTTGTCCCCTTTAATGTCACTGTGAAGTTACCTAAGAATAATTTCAAATTCTCTCTCCGACTCAATCAATTCAGGTAATATTTGATTATTACGTCTCGAGAGTTAATTCTATTAATTTTTTAATTTAATTTTAAAAATTTTAAAATAATATGAAAAATATTATAAATTATATGTTTTTTATAGTAATATAATTAAAAAAATATTTAATTTTTTATCGTTTGACTTTTAAAAAATAATAATAATAACTAAAACGGAACGGATAAAATGTCATTTAGGTTTGATGGCATGATTTTTGTTGACAGTGTAGTTACTTACTAGTACATTAGTTCTGAATTTGGATAACTAGCAGTGTTTGCTCTGGCTAATTAATTACTATTAGTTACAAAAAAAAAAAGGTTTTTTCAGAAAGGGAACCTAATTACAGAGATGAGTAGTAACTTAGTAACCAAATTACAGTTATCTTCTCCAATATCCTAATTTTAAAATAGACTATAAAAGTAGCTAGCGCACTTTTATTTTGTTACAATAATGATGAAATCCGCTCATCTCCTTCGGAACAAGCCATTTTATTAGTTCACGAAAAAAAGAAGTATATCTACATCTATAAAAATCACTCTCATCAGCGTTATGGTGTTATATTACACATCTCTACAATATTATGATAAATCTAATATAAGCATGTTTAGTGTATAAAAAAATAATTTATACCCAAGTATATAATTTAACAAATTTTGATCTAATTATTAGTATAGTTAATGAAAATCAAATGAAATCAAGGCTAAAATTCTTAGTAAAATAAAAATATTATTAGATGATTTCTTCTAAGCGTAGTATAAACTATACATACTTTAGGCAGTATAGTCAAAATAAAATTTATAAAGTTAAAATGTTGAATCGGGCTAATTGTACTTTAGGCAGAGGCAAATAGCATACATTCTGACCCACTCTTCATATGCAACAAAGTCTTGTTGTCCTTTCCATTAGCCAATAATAATATGTGGCGTCTTATTCCACAAGTCCAAACTGGATTTGATTTGCCTAAACAAGAAAGTAACGTGTGACTAATAAAGATTGCATTAAGTAAGTGAGTTTTGAGTAGGGCATCGACAAAAAAGGAAACTACGGAGAAGCCCACTCTGGCGTCGCCAAGTGCTGTTGTGTGCCGCAATAACGCAAGCGTGTGTCACCATCGTGGCTGCTCAAGCTTCTCCGCACCCATTACGCGACAAAAATCCATCACACATTTTTTTTTTTTAAAGTATTGCAGTGCCCTGCTTTATTTTAGATTAAAATAGAATTGGGTTTCACGTTTGTACATTGTTTTTAATTGAGATTCTCTGAGCACACAGTAAAAGAGATTACGAACAAATTGAAGTGCTCGCCAACGAGAAAATGACACAATAATTGCTCAACGTTTGAGGATATGTTTTAAATAGTGCTTTTATGTATGTGTTAAGGAATTCGGTCGTTTAAGTTTTTCGAAAAAAACACTCTCTACGTCTTACTAGAGAAGGTGTGTTATTATTCGACGAGTCCTTTTTGAAAATTAAATTATTTTTATTTTATTAGAATCCCTTTTTAAAATTATTAGTTAGGTTGACTTGTAGTAAGTAATATTTTTCTTATAATTTTAAAATATATAAATTTTATCTTTTTTAAATTAAATCTATTATCAAAATTAATGGTCATAATTAAATGTTTGACCCTTGTAGGTTAAACACTTTTCGTATAAATTTGTATGGAAGGAGGAACACTTTAGTGTCGGTAAAAAAAATTTGAAAGAATTTTTGGAAACTCTGATTTTTGTTTTTTATTTATTTCTAGAGTATGCAACTTCATAAAGAGTAATTTCTTTTTTTTTAAAAAAAAAAGGAAAAAAGAAGTTAGTTCCGTTTTTTAGTGTTTATTGTAGTTTTCTTTTGGTTCAATAATTTACTAGTAGATGTAGTTCTCTTTGATGTTTATATCAAATTTGTTTTTCCCACAAAGTTTAGTAAATATTTGAGGGAACTAAAAATATTGATTGAATATTTAAGGAACTCTTTTAAATGTCAGACATAAATAATCATTCTCGAGTCTAGTGCAAGGCATGAAAAGCACCATAGCATTCAAATGTGTATACGTATATAGTGATCCTAAGTTGTAGCTAGTGCTTATCCATGCTGCTTTTCACAACCATAAGTCACTTTCACTGCCTAAATGATGTTAAAGTTCTTCTCTTTTTTTTTTCTTATAATTATTTTCAATCATATGGATTTATTTAGAGCTCTTAAGAAATTTATCTGTATAATCAAGACTTCTTTCCCCCACAAATAAAGAGAAAAAGGATTAAATTATTGTTGCATAAACTATTTGTCCTTTCAGCTGGCTGACTACTTGAGGAATTGTGTGTCTGCAAGGAATATTATGTACGGAGAACCAACATAATGAAGGCATGATGATACTACTTTATCTTTTGAAATTTCCGACAAATTTTTTGAATTTTGTAAATCTTTTGAAATTATAGTAATTGAAATGAGTATTTTATCATAATACTCATGTATATTAATTGATGTTATTTGGTACTGTTAAAAATTAGAAAAACTATTTGTTGGATAAAATGCTAGAGATGTATTAAAAGTAATAAAAAGGAAAAGGAAACAACTATTTTTGAATAAATAAAGTGAATTCAGACTTCAGAGAGTATGGAATAAACTATGTAAAAAGTTTCAATGATCCATCGAAATATATATTCTTTTATCACTACGCTTCACGTACAGATCATGCCTGCTTCTTCAATACTATCTTAATTTGGTGGCAGCTACCGCAATATATTGTGGTTTTAAATTAAGATTATATATATTTAAAAATAATTTTGTTATTTTAAATACGTCAGATGAAAATTTAAATTTTATTTAAAAAAAATAAATAACACACAAGGGTATAATCTAGTGGTAACGCAAATGATCGAGAGCTTGGTGGTCACGAGTTTAAAATTCAGCTAAGACTAAAAAAATACTTGATGATTCTTTCTATCTGTCCTGAATCGAATTATCTAGTAATACTTATTAATAGGAGATGCATAGCCTAATCAGAGTAACCAAAGATATTATTAAAGGTTGAAATGGACGTTGATAATCCACTAGTAATTAACACGTACCACTGAGTTAAAGTGTATGAGAGCATCTCTCTTTATTCTCTTTTTTACTCTTTTGTATCGATGAGTGCTAAAGCATTTCTATCTACTTTTAGATCAGTACAGAAAAATGCTAACTCAGCAGCTTTCTTCTCGTGGAATGTTTAATTTCAAATATTCCACCTATGTTCACTTTTTTTACTTATTTAGTTGGTGTATATATAATCTTTAATGAATTTGAGAAATAATTTAGAATGCGAACAATAAAGAATTTTAAAAAGTATTTTTTTATTATTATCAACAAGACAATTAGGCGCTGCTTACCAAGAATCCAATTTGACATGTTGTAATTCAATATTTAGAAATTGGCATCAAATAGTCATATTAACGTTTTCGCCCAAACGTTAACAGGCCACAAACATAACCCTTTTTCATCCTAAAAAAATAGATTCTGGTATATATATATCTTGTGAATTAGAGAAATATATATTCAAATACACATTTTTGTGAATTAATGGATATACATATTATACAGTATAACTATATAAACTTTTTGGATATACATATGGTAATAAATCGATGCTAATATAGTTGTCTTTATTTATGTTTACATATGACAAGATTGTATACAGTGTAGTCCATACCAAACACACCCATAGACAATTTTGTGATATACTTCTAAAAGTATTTCTAAAATGTTGTTGATATATGCAACAAGTGTATGTATACGTTCAATTTAATGGGGGTGATCTTGTGATATAAATATAGTTTATGTATACATACACATTGTATACATTAACAACATTTTATACATACACAAAATTACCTCCATTAAAGTAGTTGGCCAAAAGAGACGGAAAGTTAAAAAGAGAAAGGAAGGAGTTTACCTAATTGGCTAAGTTGTACCTATTTTTAGGCCTACAAATAAAGAGATAAAAAGTATTTATACTATATAAATCACTACTATATAAAAATGCCTTTATTTGATTTATTAAGTTATGCCTAGATTTTTAGATCTATAATTTGCTAATTTGATTTTGGTATGCGCATATGCATATTATTTGTAGATGTATGTCTATGTAAAATCCCCATCTTTAAATTGGATTTTTCCCCCCAGTAATTTTTGGGTCAAAGAGTGTCAATGGCCCATAAGATTAAAAATCATTACGGGCTTAAATAACAAACATTCAGGCCCACATTGACAGCTTGTATGCAATAAAGGCAAGTTCAATAATATGGTCTTTTGTATTTATTTATTTTTTCTGTTCGATATTTATTAGAAGAAATATTATATCAAAATGTCTATATTATACGTACAATTTATATGCACTAATATAGTAGTAATAAATTTAGTGCAAAATCAATTATTTAGACATTAGTCTTTGACTACTTTACCTGGATGGAAGCATCAATTTTGAGTAGCTAATTAATGAAAGGAACTACTTTACTGATATTTCCTTTTGAATGTTTCCTCTATATTTAAGGTAATGTATGATATAATTGAACTATATTTTGTGATTACAAGTAAACTGATATTGAACAAACTACACTTATTAATTTGTTGTCCGCAATATATCAAAATCAAACATAACAAATCAATTTAATATGATAATGATATACGAAATATTTTATAAAAATGAAAAGCTAAAATTTCTGAATTGAAATTATCAATAATGTACAGTGCCCATAGTTCCGTTGTGGGCATTACTTTTTTCCATTATACTACACCATCCATAAAGCTTTCTCCAAAAGGGACCCAAGTAATAGGTACCAATGAGTGTACACATACACAAACATGTTATGGTACATCATAATTTTACCTACTCTTGTCAAATTGCAACTCAGCAATTTGCAGTAAAAATGAAAAAAGTGCTATACTAATATTACCATTGTTGAATTAGAAAGAGTCAATTTACATAAGGGAAATATTGAGTTTATGCAAGAAGCACTCTTCTAACTCTCCGAATTACTCTTCGACAAATTGGGCAATTCTTGTTTTCTTCCTCTGTAATCCTGCGTATCAACAAAATCAATCGTATACTGACGATGCGTATAACTTAAATGGCGGGATATAAATTACCTCTCGGCACATGAGAGACAAGTAGCGCAATGTCCACAAGGAATAAAGAAGCAATTTCGTTTATTATCATAGCAAACTATGCATATATTTTCATCATACAAATCCTCAGAGGAACTAGAACGACTGCAATTTCCCGATTCCAAATCATCTTCATCACATGTTCCGTATGTCAAAGAAGCACTTGCTTTCGATATCAATCTGTCCGTTTCTCTTCTCACAGTTTCATCATTTCTTGCAATTTCGCCATCACAAACTCCAAGTAATTTAATTAACAACGCCGCAACCATCAGCAACACCACTGATTCAAATCAGAATTGTTAATTTCATAGAGTAACATCAATTTCACACATGATTTTTGTGTATAGAAACTTACGGATAACAGAGGAGTAAACAATAACATTAAGAATGTACTCTAATGCAGCCTGTCGTTGATCTTGATCTTCCTGTAACATTTCAACAAATTCGATGAAAGTTTTTAGATGAAATAATCGACAATCAAAAGGGGCTTACCTGATTTAAGGAGACCAGGGTATGGTACTGACTGAAATTGAGTTGAATTGGGCTTATTCTTAGTACTTGACTTGGAGACATGTCCTTAAGATTCGGGTTTTTGCCTGGGTGAGCTGCAATTTTGCCTCCTACCTGGGTGTATTAATTGAGGTGTAACTCAAGGGGCATTATTTTGAAAAGAAATGAGTTGACGTACTGTTGAAGCTTTCGTAGAGATTACGCATTATTTATTTTTTGATGACATATATGGAAGTTTGTAATTTTATCGAATTCTGTGCATTCTTTAGGTTCACTTCTCGGTTTAAGGCTGGCACTATTTAAAGTGAAATTCCCTCGTAAAGAAAAAGAATGTGACCCTGTTTGGATCGGCTTTTCAGTGCGTTGATTTTAAATTGATTTAAATTTGATTAAATTTAATTTTAAAGTTTTTTTTTGAAGGAGGTTGAAAATAAATCTAAAATTAGTTTAATATTTTAATATAATAAAAAAATATAACCTTTGGTAATCCTTATTTTTTTTATTTAAAAGTCATTTAAATTTAATTTTTTTATTTTTTAACTTTAAAATAATCAAAAAATCAATTTAAACAGGCTTTATTCATGTAAGGACATAATTTAAATTAATGTATTTTTTAGTGTTGTCTCTATCTTAATTAAAGAAAATGACAAATATAAAACAATTAAAAAAATCACTTTAATATGAAATAGATAGAGTAAGAGTTCGTTTGAATTGACTTAAAAAAAATAATTTTCAAGTCAAAAATAAAAAATCAAACTGAAATTATTTTTTAGTTAAAAAATAAAAAATAGGATAGATCTACTTTTGATTTCTGACTTATTTTAAATAATTTTTAACTAATTATAAGTTATTTTTTGTCTTGTCAAATTTTTTTTAACTTATTTAATTTTTTTTTATATTTACCAAATAATATCAAAAATAAAAAATTAACTTAAAAATTAACTTGATCGACTTTTATATTTTAAACAATCCAAACAGACTTCGAAAAGCAACAACCAAACATGTATCCCTTCTCAAAAAACTACTTTACTTTAGTCGACACAATTGAAAACTTTCATTAGGAATAAGTAAAATGAACCAAATGAGTGAATAGGAAAAGTGCTTATTTATAGAGGTGTAATTTTATTAAGTGTAGATCATATATTGAATATCTTAATTATTCAAAATATATTTTTATTGAACATAAAATGCTGAAAACGTGTGATTCACCCTCTTTACACGCGTAAAGCTATTAAAATATATTCTTTTCCTTTTTTTCTCTTACTTATACACCTAAATTAACTTTTTCTTTTAAAAAATAATTAACAAAAATAAAGAGAAGAAAGAGTGTCTTCTTCTCCATCCCAATATTCCCTGCAACTATTCCCATTTCTCATCCACCATTTTCTCAGCACAACCCACCCCATTCTCTGCACCTCGTTCTTCCTCTCACACTCTACAGTTCTTCTCTTGCTTTTTCCTTATGTAGATTTCGGTGAATTTCATTTATTTTGATAAGAAAAATATGAATTAATTTTTTCGAATAAAAATTTATTAGTATATTTTGCAATTTTAATAAATAAATACTAATGAAAAGAAGATAAAGACGATGAGTAAGAGATTTGATGCTATCAATCTGAAAGAGAATTATTATTTAGTTTTAATAGGCAATAACGATGCACTGCTTATGTGTCGGTGAAAGGAATAAAATTGAATGAAGGAGATCAAAGAGGCAGGACAATGATTCATTGTTTGTTGGTGTTGAAGTTGCTGCCGGCACCGGTCGAAGAGGAAATGGGTCTCGGATAGGGGGTTAAACAAAAAAGAAATTAAGTTTTTATATTCATAAAATTACTTTTGAATTATTTAGATATAACTTTTCAAAAAAATTGAATTCAATGCCACGTGTCATCATTTTATTGGTGGGTAGGTTTTTTTGAATTTTTCAAAAAAAAAAAGTTAGTTAGTAAATAGATTAAAATAGTTATTTTTTAGAATATCATTTTTTAAATTAATTTTTGAATTCAAATATCACATGTCATTATTTAATTCATCAATTTATCATGTCAGCGAATGTAGTACACATATTTCATATTTTTAGCCTATTGCAAAAAAAGGTCAAAATGATATCAATTTTTAACGAAGATAAGTGTTCAGTAGGTACAAACATCAATTGAATTGTTTAAACGAATCATGCAGACAATTTTAAGAAATTATGAATATAACTTAAATCTTTTACTAAATTCACATAAAGGGAAAAAAAATCCAAGGAAAGGGATTGTTTCGCCCAAAAATTTACATCACAAAAAGACAAACTTAAAATTAGAAGTAGGAAACTTCGCTTACTTGGAATAAAGCAGACCAAGTTTAATCTCTTATGGGAAAAGCATATATAGAACCAAACAACCTCACTTCCCGATATTATAAACAATCCAAATCAGCGTAGCTTTCTTCTGAATTCGGTATTATTTTCACTAAAATTCGATCCACAAAGAAAAACAAAAGTAGCAAAACGGCAAATTTGCAAGCATATGTTGTTTCGCAGAGGAACCTTTTATAATTAGGAATGGTAGATAATATGTCTCTGTCCCTCTCAACAGACTGTTATAAGATAAAATCGATTCTAAGTTATGATGGAATAATAGTTAATTTTTAAATAAAAATCTTGGCTTCGAGTGTATTTATATGGAGTGCTTGGAATAGTAAACATATTTTTAATTAGAGATTAATCTGTATCGACTAAAATTACTATTTTAAAAAAAAAATATTTTAAGTTAAAAAATTCTAATTTAAATACCAAAATAGAAAAGCAAAAACGAATTTATAAGGCCGGAGAAAACACAAGCTTGCTTTTCTTTGGGATTATTCATTTACATCAGCTTCGAAGAAAAAAAAAAGCATTTACTTCGCAATTATTTATTCAAAATAATACTCCGATAATTCCTGTATTTTAGGTGGAAAACTTAATTAAATATTTTTTGACTTTTGAGTCGTAGCCGTTACATGTCCTTCCTTATCTTACTTATAAAATTTTAAAAAATGTCGATACATATTTTATGGCGTGGGGATTATTGATCTGAGTTGCTTATCAAACGGATAATTATGATTATGTGAAACTTATATAAATATATTGTAAATAAAAAATATTTATTATTTATAGTAATAATTTTATTTTTTATCACTTTTAATATATTTACAATACACTTATAATTCATATTATAAAAGAAATTTATTATTCACATATAATATAAATTTTATTGATGGATAATATATTTATCATATATTTTAATATATTTATAATATAATGTGCCAACTTATTAGCAAACAAGCATAATATATTTTTAAAAATAGTTATAATACGTATAAATTGCATACTTAATTCACTTTTAATATCTATTGCAGATTTGACATAGTATTGCCATAAATTGTAATAAATAAAAAGTATCGCTAAAATCAATAATTATTTATTAAAAGACATTCATCCAAGTAATTTTTCTTATGATTATTCTATTCGTTATTGATTTTAAATATATTAATTTATTGGTTAATTCATAAGATATTGATTAACAAATTTTCATTATTATTATTTGTAATAAGCACATCTCCCTAAAATAATTCTCCGTGACACTATTTAGATTTTAGATTAGTCCAAACTCCAATCAATAAATTCTAAGCAACAACCGTAAATGGCAGACAAGTTCCATTCTCCTTTTTGTACAACAACAACAACAGCCCGTGTTCAATTATGATATTTATAATACACACAAGCGACGGTGTTAATATAGATCCAACATGTGTTATTTTATTTTTTTTTGTCTCACTTCGTACGATATAAATAAAATAAACATCAATTAAATTTTAATATGATTTTTAAATATTTTAAATTGTTAACGATTGTAATATTATTTATTTAATTTTTAAATAATATATGTTACTTCTCTTTTTGCCAATGTATATAGCACAAATAAAATTTTAAGAGTCAATTAAATTGTGACAATTACTGAAATTTATAATATCTTTTATACAATTTCCAAATTAAATATCTTATATTGTCTCATTTTATGTGACACATATATATTAATTTTATGAATTGATCAAATTATTTGTATATTTCTAAAAAATATTTTAAATTGTCAATTATTATAGTTTATAATTATTTTTTACACAATTTTTATATATATATAAAAAAAAAATATCGACCATGACCAATCTGATTATCCCTCTAACCCTCTTATGTATTACTCCCTCTGCCCCTATTTAGTTGTCCACTTTAGAAGTGATAACAGCAATTATTATCATAGGTTAGTTACAATTTTACCCTTAAATGGATTACAGTTTAGTAGTACTAAATTTTTTCTATAATTAAATGAGGGCATATTAAAAAAAAAATTGTTATCCTTTCTTCATTTGTTAAAATGGACGAGTTAATATGAACAAATATGAAAAAAAATATGAATAAATAAATAGGAACAGAGGGAGTATTACGGAATATGGAGGGTCAAGGTCCTTGGTTTTTTTTTTTTGTGTCATCAATAAAAATATATTTGAGAAATAAAACACACTTGACCGATTTAAGTATAAACATAGTTGGGCTGTTATGTTCTCTTCTTCCTTTTTCTCTTGGTTAATAACTAGGTAAATTATCGGTGTTTTATGCAGTGATAAATTATATCAATAATTTATTTTTGAATATTTAATAATATAAGTGATTTTGAGCAAGGGTTTATGCAACAAATTTTAAACATATGAAAAAAATAAACAAATCATATAAATAAAATATGAAGAAACATAATTTTATTGATTAAGATAGCGGGTACAATTCTGTTGATCCCTTGATTCTACTCTCCTAGGATTTATTCATGATTCGAGGGCCATTAGTGGCGTATTTCTCGAACTAGGATGATTTAGATTTTGACCTATCTATATGAATAATCTATCAATTTGTGGAGAATTCGAGATCTTGATCTTTTTATGGAGTTTCTAAGATGCCTTTTAAGGGAATTAGTACCCTTTATATAGACATAAACTAGGGTTTAAGGTTGAGTACATTCCAAGAATCTTAATTTGAATTGAACACAATTTATAGAGTTCCAACTCGAATTGAACCCATCTTTTAGAGTTCCACAAAATTTCAATGTCTACACTAACAGACTCATCTTTTAGAAAATGTTAAATTTTACTATTAACAGTGTGGCTAACAAATTTATCTTTTTTTGCCTTTTTTTATATCTATTTTTTTTTAAGCAAGAAAAAATAATAAATTTTCTTATAGAAGGTAAAAAGAAAATATAAATTTCAGGATATTTTTCTTTAGAGCTATTAAAGAAGATATCAACGATGAATTTTGTTAGCCACGTGAGTTCATAACTAAATTTAATATTTTCTTTTGGCTTAAGTCATTGATAGCCCCTTAAAGTTGTCCGCATAATTCATTTAGACACTTCAACTGAGACTCTTATTTATTAGACACTTTAATATTAATAAATATTTATCTATTGAACATAAAATAACAACTAGCTTTACAAATATTGTGCGTGTAATGCACATTCATTATCTTGACAAAATTACGAATAGAACTATGACACGTGGCACATGGGCCCATAAATTTTTAATTTTGAAAAATAAATAAAAAATTTTGCCTTTAATAATATATTAAAAAATTAAATTGATAAAAAAAGAAAATCTTTCCCCCATCCCCACCTAACCCCCACCCCATCTAACTTATTGCCCCTTTCTTCTTCATCTTCTTCTATGTTGTTCCACAATCGTCATTCCTCGGCGATAACAAAAAAGAAAATGCCTAATCCCATCTCATTTCGAATTCATCCACCAAATGTTTTCCTCCTTCATTTTTTCCGTTATATGCTATTCCTCCGACGACTATTTCGATTTTGTAAATATAAACGACCTTGATAAATTATTTTGAAATTGATAACGAAGAGAAATTAAAATTATATCAAATATTTTATAGCATTTTTCATAAGTTTATGAATGGTGATAGTTGCTCAATTGAAGTTATTGAAAATAAAAATGTACATATATTGATCAATTTTTTAACTCCAAATGGTACATTTTTTCTTCTTCTTGAAAATTCAATAGGTACTTTGTTTACAGAAAATGAAAAAAAATGAACCATAACAAAAGGCAAAGAAATTTGAAGTTTTTAAAATGGTGGGTTGAAGGAAGATGAGTGTGGGGGTGATTTTTTTTTTTTTTGATTTAAAAAATTTATGTTTAATTAAATTATTTTTTATGTATATATTTAGTCAATGCATGCCAAGTGTCAACAAAGTAGGTATAAATATTTTTTTAAAAAATTAAAAAAATGCATTCACGCGCTCAGCAGTAGTGAGATACACTTATTTTGTCACATCAGCGTTTTGTGTTTAATAGGCACATTTCTTGAATAATTTAGGTGTTCAATAGGTATAAGTTCTAGTTCAGGTGTCTAAGTGAATTATGTAGATAACATTAAGAGGCCGCAAATGACTTAAGCCTTTTCTTTTGATAAATCTGTTAAGTTAATGACCGAAATGAACACATTTGTTATACATTAGAGATCATCTCATCTAAATCCAATATATTAAGGACCAAAATCAACACACCTATTACACGTTAAAATCATTTTAATCAAGTGAAATATATCAATATCAAAATAAAACATTACCCATTAATTAATAAAAGACCATTTTGTGATGGTAATGTACACGAAGAAATGTGTCATGTATATACTACTAAATTGCTACATTTTCAATTATTTCATACTTTTTCTTTATACAACTAGATTTGGATTGATGTAAGGATTTTAGTAAATAAAAAATTATATTTATTACGACTTTAATTTCTGTTTAATTTGACAGTTGAAAGGTATATCTAACTTCTCCAACAGAAATTAATTAAGGCACTTTACTAATGATGGTACCATCATGATTTAGCTGATCAAGCTTAGCTTTCACGCAAAGCAATCTTCAACTATTTAGACAACCATATATTAATGTAAAGGTAAAATCTAGGTCCCAAGCAAACTTATAATTCATAGAAAAATGTCTTTAGTTGTTGTCTTTTTTCTAAATATAAGTGGTTTTAAAATATATATTTTTTGTCTTATATTAATTGTTATTTTATTTAAAAGAATTTTTTAAAGAAAAAAATAGTAAAACTATCCTTATTTAGTATTTCTTCTGAGATCTGTAAAAGAAAAAGTAAACAATTAATATGAGATGAAAAAAATTATTATTAAAACATCTAAATATAGTTACTTTCTTTCGTAATAAATGGTGTATTTAATGGGAATATTCACTAAAGAAAATTACATACTCATGGAAGTAAGCTCATTATTTTAACTAAATTAACTTAGCCTAATAAATGTCTTGACTTTTTTTTGTTTATGCATCTTTGATAGGTTTTTGGTTATGTAAAACTCTCTTGATCTAATAAATTTAATATTAAAAGAAAAAAATAATACTCTAATATCTTTTATTATGTGAAATATTACTTATTTTAAAAATAAATGATGTAATTATTAGTTTTT